TTGAAATGAAAAATAAACAAACTCTATTTAAAAAAAAAAGAAATGACAAGTAACTAGAGTTAAAAATATAAAATTTTGGTAGCTAAATCCCAAATTGTCCTCCTTAACTTTTTAAATTGTTTTAAAATCCTTAGCATTTAAGACAAAACTGAAGAAGGGTGTTTGGGAAAACCCATTTTATTCAGTCTGCAGTCGCTGTGAGTTAGACTTCTTGTAGATTATGCCAGAAGTGACTAATACCTTGGCTTATGTGGGATGACTACAGGGGCGTTTCCCTGGCTTTAATATTACAAGATCTGCTTCTTCTAACAAGATGCATCTGGCCTGAAAAACTTCCAAAGAGTTTTCCTGCTACTCTGCCTCTGTCATTGCCACTCCCAATTTTGTCTATTTCAATGGGGAATCAACAGAATAGAGTTCATACAACTGCACTTCACTGTTCCTAGGGTAAAGGCTGAAATGAGGGGACTGTGTGTTTCAGCCTTTTCCCTAGCGCAGTGGCAATGACAAGAGGGTAAAGTTTCCTCCTCTTCTACCTCATATCCCCTCCTCTTGATTGTCTTTGATCTGCCTCTTTGCTATCCACTTACTTTGCATATGTTTCAGCTACATTATTTGGTATTTTTTTGCTATTTCCTACTTCTGGACATCCTCAAGCTATTCCTTCCTTCTTTGTCTTTTAAAGGCTTGTTCAAATATCAGTCCTCATCTCAATACTCTAATCATAGTCAACTGCTCATTCCAGGTATCCTAGGAGTGACAGCAAAGCATAGCAGTTCAGAGTGTGAACTCAGGAGCCAGAGGTCTTGATTTTAAATTCTGACTCCATCAATTTTTCCATTTAAGCAACCTTAAGAATTTATTTTATCTGGGCTGAATCTCTGTTGGGGTGAGGATTAAATGATTTAACATATCCAAAGTGTTTAGAATAGTGCTTTGAACATAATAAATGATAGTTAAGACAGTTTGAAGACCATGGTGCGCCTGATCCAGGTCATGGTCTTTTCAAACACTTGCTATGCATCTGAAAGCTGGGAAATTAATAAAAAGGATAACTCATGCCTTTGAGCTGTGGTGTTGGAGAAGAGTACTGAAACTCACAGGTTTCCAAAAGAACAAACAGGTATTTCTTGGAAGAAGTACAGCCAGAATGCTCCTTGGAGGCGAGGATGACAAAGCTTTGTCTCATAAACTTTAGGCATGTTGCTAGGAGAGGCTATTCCTTGGAGAAGGACATCATGTTTGGAAAGGTGAAGGGTTAGTGAAAGAAAGATCTCTGACGAGATGGATTGATACAGTGACTGCATCAATGGGCTCAAATATGTCAGAGATGATGAGGATGGTAGAGGGTGGATACGGTTCAGGTCTGTTGTTCACAGGGTCACTATGAGTTGTACTTAGCTTGGAGGCATCTAATAACAACAACAATATTGTAGCAGGATGTCAATGCTTCCTCACAGAACTGACGGTATCTAATTGTGATCCTCATCACCAGGCCAACTGGCAGTATCACGATAGATGGAGAAAAGATGAAGTTGTTAATCATTTCATCTCGCTTGGATTCATAATCAGCACTCTTGGCACCAGTAGTGGGGAAATTAAAAGATGAGTTGCTTTGGGAAAGACTGTTGTCAGGAACCTCTCCAGAGTGTTAAAGAGCAATGAGGTCAGTCTAGAGAATGAGGTGCACCCCATCCAGGACATGGTCTTCTCAATTGCTTGCTATGCCTCTGAAAGCTGGAAAATTAATAAGGATGACAGAAGAATTGATGTCTTTGAGCCTAGTGTTAGAGAAGAGCACTGAATAGCCCATGGGCTGCAAAATGAACAAATAGGTAGGTCTTGGAGAAAGTGCAGCCAGACTGCTCCTTGGAGGCAAAGATGACAATGCTTTTGTCTCCAACATACTTTGGGCATGTTGCTAGGAGAAGCTATTCTGTGGAAAGTGTCATCATGCTTGAAAGGTAGAGGGTCAGCGGAAGAGAGGAAGACCCTCAACAATGGGCTCTTGTGTATTTAGTTAAGAGGATGGCACAGAATAGGATAACATTCATACTGTTGTTCATAGAACTGCTGTTAGAAGCATTCAACTCTTAATGACACTTAACAGCAACAACAGTATTGTTTGATTTTAAGATGATTTCAAGGTATACTTTTGGTTTAAGGTTTTAAGATTACCTCTGGAAAATAGCTTTGGGAATCACTAAGGCTCCATGACTCCAGAAAGTCTAGACTCCACGAGGATTTGATATTCTGTTCTGTATTTTTGTCCCTCAAAAGAATTTCATAGATTCTTCAATGAAATCTTTGATCAAAATGCTCAGTACTAGTAGCCAGGCACCATCCACTTCCTCCATTTATTCCATTTCCTCCTATTTCTGATTATTCTTCCTCTGTTGCTCCAGACAAATGAAGACTAATTTGTTACACCTTGGATGGCTATGTGTAAGCTTTTGAGATTTCACAAATTATGCAACAAACTAGAAGGCTGAACAGTAACACAAAACACATTATTAGGTCAGTTAGAGGTTTAAGGTCATGGTTTCATAGGGCATCCCTGTTAATAGGTCTATAATGTGTTTAATGCTACTCTTCTACCTTCCAGCTTTTTAAGAGGTTTGTTCCACTTTTCAGTTTAATATAAAGGTTTAGGGTCATGGTTTCATATGCTATCCCAGTTAAACTAAAGACCCAAATCCCATGAGGTGTTTGGCTGGAACACAAGGAGTCTAAGCAGCTACTCTCTCTTTTTTTAAGTCTTCTCAATTATATATATATATTTATCACACAGCTTTTGCCAATGCATAACAGGTGTACCACTTATTGACAGCACTTCAAAGAATTGCCTGTGTAACCTTATCCTTTGTCAGTGGTCTCCATCCCTATAAATCAAAACTCAGTACTCAACAATTCCTCTTTCTCCTTCCTTTTGCCCCTGGTTAACCACGGATAAATTTTGGACTCTATACATTGTTCACTGTTATTATTCATTGCTGTTGAGTCAGAACCAACTATAGCTGACCCTCCAGTGGGTTTTAAGACTCTGTAAATTATGTAAGAGATTATCTACCTTTTTCCTGTGGAGCAGCTGGTGGATTCGAGTCACATACCTTAGGGTTAGCAGTGTAACTCTTTACCATTAGGCCACCAGAGAGCCACACACATATGTATAAACAAACACACACACACACACACACACACACACACACACTCTATATATGAAGTCATTTATCATTTGTCTTTCTGAGATTTACTTCTTTCACTCAGCAGAATGTCGGCAATCTAGCATCCTTGGGTAAAATGGCATTTATACATATTTTTCTTCTTTGAAGAAAGAATTATACACATTTATTTGTTATGAATGAACCGTCTGAAAGGACACTCACAAAGCTAAAACACAGATTGCCATCAGGGCAGGAAAAGTAACTGGCAAGATCATGTGGAAAGGAGAGTCATTTTACTTTTAAAGTCCTTTACCCTTTGAATTTTAAATCATGAAAATACCTTAGTCAGAAAAATATAGATTTTTTTTTAAAGGATCTTTCTTACTTATTTGCCATCAAGTCAGAACTGACTCAAACTGACCCTCCAGTGGGTTTTCAGAGGCTGTAAATCACATGGATGGAGACTGTCCATCTTTCTCCCTCAGGGCAGGTGGTGGATTCGAATCTGGTAAGAGAGATGTTGCCTATGGGAGAGCAGTGCAACTCCCTACGGACTGAGCCACCAGAAGGTCACTAATAAGTTGGAGGCAATGCAATAGCAATGGGACTCAGGCAAAGTGCTTTCCAAGAACTAGCTCTTCTAATTCTACCCAGTAAGCTGGGTAATAAGAAATGACAGCTGAGAAGGTTTGCCTTCAAACCCCAGGTTCTCATTTGATGACCCCAGCATATTGTTTTGTACTTAGCATACTTCTAGAGATCACTTTTCATTATAGAAAAAAAAAAAGACCCCAAACCCCACAAAATAAATGGGCTCCCTGTCTTTAAGGTGCTGCTCTCAGCATGGAAATAGTCAAAGAGCTAGCATTGGGATCCAGAGCAGGGTGGCTGATATGAGGAAGAGACTTACATCCGAAGAGCTGGGCTCCTGTGCTGTCCTCAGCAGAACTCCCTCAGCCAGGGCCCGGTCCACGGCCTGACGTGCCAGCTCCTCTAACTGCCGCTCATCCTGCAAGAAGCTCCCCCAACCGATGGTGGCCATTCCAACCTGCCAAAGTAAAAGAGGAGTGATAAGGGGAAGATGGCCTGGGACCCAGGAAGCCCTGACATTGGCTAGTGGCTGTAACTCAACAGCTGCTCCATGGGAGAAAGATGTGACCATTTCTGTAAAGATTACAGTCTTGGAAGGCTATGGCGAAGTACTACTCTGTCCTATAAGGGAGAGAGTCTCAATTTGATGGCAGTAGGTTGCATTCTGGGTTTTAGGGGCCACTCTCAACACAGTGGGACACTGGCCTCTGTTACAGGGGATAACATAAAAGGTGGTACAGAGAAGTGAACATTGGCTGCTCCTAGCTCTTAAGAACTCCCAAGCGCACAAAACAGACCACATGACAAATAAAGCATTTCCTTTGCCACTCTTTATGACTTCTAACATACCAACGACATTATTCTTACTTTCAAAGCAGGGAAGTGAAGGCTCAGAGAGGTGAAAGACATGCCCAAAGTAATGACCAGTAAAGGTTGGGCTTGAACCCAGGTCTCTGGACTCTCAGACTAATGTTCTTCATTAGAGAAAGTGGCACTAATGCCACATGTGATTGGGGCACACTCCCTTCCCTCCTATAATGGAAGATACACTGTTTGTGAAACAAGTGGGATCAATGGTTTTTAAACCTGGCTGAGCATTCTTAGGTCCTGGGCTTCATCCTGGAAGATCTGATTCCAGAGTCCTGGGGCCAAGGAAGCTAAGATCTGAATTTTTAGCAAGTTTTCTCAGGATGGAAACCACTGCAACAGAATATTAACTTTCCTCTCAGCTCCAATGATCTATACTAGTGAATCTAAAATTTCATAGGTGAAATGTATGGAATACCATGTGAAATACCATGAGGCGCTGATATGTAAACTCCTTCATCCTGACAAAATCAAACTTTGTAGCAGAAAATTATGACTTTTTTGTTTTGTATGAACATCTTCATAGAACCAAAAGAAAGAAAACAGATTTGAAAATCACATTAGAAAAACAGAATATCAGAAATTCAAATGTCAAACATAAAGGAGTCTGAATGGCAGTCCAGAGATGTATATAAGTGTACCAGCTCACACCCTGATGGCATAAAATTTTTTAAAAATTTTATATTTTTTAAAATAATTTATTTTTTTAATTATTAATTTTAATGTAAGTTTACAGAGACTTTGGATTTCCATTCATTCATTGTTGGACTTTTCTCCCTGCCCATCCCTCCCCCTGTTTGCTCTTCTCTGAAAAGTCAAATAAAAATTATTTCATTGTTATACAATCCCTTCCCCCAAGTCCACCCCACTATACAGCTTTCATTCTGGACTCCTGTCATGACAATAATACCTAATCATATATCCCTTTTAAACAGTTCTCTCCCTCACCTGTTTCAATGCAGTATATATTATTTATCCCATCTTTCTCAGTCTCCCTCCAACCCCGATGTCAGTCCTGTTTTACAACACTGGCACTATGCAGTATTTGTCCTTTGGTGACTGAGATACTTCACTCAGCCTAATGTCCTCCAGGGTCACCCATTTTGTATAATGTTTCATGAGTTCCTTGTTTTGCAATGCAGCATAGTATTTTCCACCAACAGTGAATAAGGGTTCAAGTTTCTCCACAACCTCACTAGCATTTGTTGTTTGCTGTTCTGTTAAATTTTGCTATTCTTACTGGGGTGAGATGGTATTTCATAGTTGTTTTGATTTGCATCTCTCTTAGAGCTAGGGATTTTGAACATTTCTTCATGTGTTTGTTTGCCATCTGAATGTCTTCTTTGGTGAAGTGGGCACACAATTTTTCTTAAAAAATAAAATTTTTATTTTATACTGGTTTACTTACAGAGTTTGTATTAATTCTTTCCACACAGGATCTTTCCCATTTTCTTTACCTACATCTCCCTCTATCCATCAAATTGTGTGACTCTATAATTACCCCTGCCCAACCTCAGCCCTCTGCTCCTACCCTCCCCCCTTGGATCTTCATATATGTTTTACTAGTTGATGGTCTTTTACAGTATTTGTCCTTATGGGACTGAGTTAGTTCACTCAGCATAATACTCTCCAGTCCCTCCCAAGTTATGTGGTAATTTTCAAAAATCCTGCATGCTACGTAGTGTTGATGGCACACAATTTGCAGCAGTCCCCAGAGGTTTTAAAATTATTTAGATTAAAAAATAAATAAGAAATGTCAGCCATTAAATTTGTTCTGCCCTAGTGTTATTTGGGAACCTCTGATGGCTTAAAGGCAAGAAAGGAGTTGCACTGCCAACCCAAAATCATGTGATTAGAACCCACCACTTGCTCTCAGGGATAAGACAGGCAATCTATTTTCATGCAATTTACTGCCTCTGAAAACTTATTTGAGTCAGTTTCTACTTGGTGGTACCTAATAACAGTAATGTTTTTCTGAATTTAGGAATAGAACTTGACTTCTTAGCTCAGGAAATACCAGTGATCTCCACAAAGAGAGGTAGGTAACCTTTGTTCTGTCCAGCTCTGTTCTGTAAATCTAACCAAAACTCAACCGCCACTGAGTCGATTCAGATTCTGGTGATCCTATAGGACAAGACAGGGCTGCCCTGTAGTTTCCATGGCTGTAAATATTTACAGAAGCAGACTGTCTTTCTCCTATAGAGTAGCTGGTGGTTTTGACTTGACTGCTGATCTTTCAGTTAGCAGTCAAGAGTTTACTCATCACGCCACCATGGTTCCTAACTGGAGACACACCAGTTGTGAGAGTTTGCAGGCCTCAGCACATGCTTTGAAAGAACACATACATGCTCTCAAAAGGATCTTAACAATATCCATGGTGGATGGGAGGCAGATGAAGGCAGTCAATATAGGAGGTTCTAGAATCAGACACATCTAGGCTTGCATCTCCCACATCATTACTTCCCTTATAAATTAGGTTGCTGTGTGGAGAAAATGAAAAAAAAAAAATTATCTGTGTAAACTTGTCCAGTACTGTTCAGAGCTCTGTACATAAGCAATTCTCTCTCTCTCTCTTTTCTTAATTTTACAAGTGGGAGGGTTCACATAGTGACAAAGTTCACATAGCAGCCTGATGACAGAGCCAGGACTAGAATTTACAACTTGAACATTAGAGCTTCAGAAGCCTCCATTGGCCCCCATCTCTTTACAGCTTAGAATCGCAATGTCTCCGCCTGCTGTTGCATTTTTTTGTTTGGTTGATAAGCATTGACTGGCACCCAATTTCAGGTCTCTGACTAAATAACAAAAACAAAGAAAGCAAGAAAAAGAATCACAGTGAAAAGGGCTAGCTGCTCTAACAGTGCAGGCTCTGGGAGAGCACTGGAAAGGGCGAGGTCGCTCGGGAGTGGTGCAGCCTGGGCAAAGGAAATGTTCGCAAAGAGGTTAGTTAGGGAGCCAGATGCTTGAAGGTGAGCTCAAACTCCAGAAATGGATAAGGCCAAAAAGGCATTTAAGGTTGTTGAATTGTGTACCTGCAAAGGCACAGTCATCCAAAACAGTGAGAGGTTTTCCATGGTTGGCACGTAAGATTCTGAGAGGCTGTACTGGAAGCTCTGAGGGAGTTGCACTAACCCAAAGGTGGCACCTATCTGGCAGTTTGAATCCACTAGTGGCTCTGAGATGTAATCTCCTCCAGTGCAATTTACAGCCTCAGCCTCTGAAAATCTGCTGAAGAATCTACTATGGATGAGTTCAAACCCACACTGGCAATGAGGGGCTTTTAAAAATATGGCGAACAAGGCACCATGGTGGCAAGTCCTTAGGGAGTTGTATCTGCTACTAACCCAAAGCCTCTCTGCTTTTCTCCCTACATATTCTCTGTAGACACCAGTAACCTTTCTTAGGACTTTGTGAAATCGCTGATGACATTACATTAGTCCTTTCATGACCTTCGAACTAGAAAATATCACTGATTGCTAGAGTCTCCACACAACCAGAAGAAAATGTTGTCCCTCCTACAAACCTGCTCCTCCTCTGAGGAACCCCACCTAGGAAACCAAGCTTTGTCCTTCTCTCCTATCACTCACTCTTTCCCAAATCCTGTGAATTTTGTTGCTTAACTACACAGTCAGTACCTTGAACTCCTCCATGTCTCCTTATCCCCACTAATACTACTGTAACCCCTGCCATTACATAGGTTCAGGCAGGTGTCCTTAGTAACCAGGATCCCTGTCTGACTCCCAGGCAGTGGAATGTCCCGTTATCTCTCTCTGTAACAATGTACTCACCACCTCACCACTTCCGACTAGCATTCATCAATCAGTTTTTAGCAGTCCCTTATTTTCCACCCAGGGCTTTACTTAGTCCATTACTTTTCCCTGTAACCTAGAGATTGTGTTTGTCTTGATGATTTCTCCATCTCTAGTGGTGCTTAGTATTGTAGTTAAAAGAATGTTAATTAAATGAGTGAATGATAAATTAGTAGCTAGGTCCAGGAGGCTATAAGCTTTAAAACGCCCACAAGGAAATCCGGTCGGACTTTATCCAGGGGGCGAGGCCAGTACCTGCATGAAGCCCGGGGCAATGACACGATCAAATGCCCAGGCCTGCCCCACTTCACTATGCCGCTCACTCCCATCCTGGACAAAGTTTGGCTCTAATCGCTCCCACTGACTTCTTGCCAAAACTCCAGCTCTGGTCGGTCCCGCACGGTGTCCATGGCGCAACTCGGAGTCAGGAGATCTATGATCAGCAGTCGCCAGCCCAACCCCCTAGGTGGTCATCAGTTTCCTGACTCTGAGGGGTTTGGGGTTGAACTGCAAGATTTCCCGGCCACTCAGTTTCCACCTTTAGCTACAACCCTCCCGCAAGTGCTGCCTCCTCAGGAAATTTGACCCCAGCCGGCCGCCGTCGCCGAGCCCCCACCTACTTGTTCGTCGTCCCGCGAAGCGCCGTCCTCCAGCCCCGCGCGCCGTTAACCCGGGACCAGGGGGTGTGGTCTCTGTGCGACCTAGTGCGCTTGCGCGGACCGCCCCCGGCCGGGCAATGAAGAGTTGGGCGGGGAAGAAAGCTGCTCGAATTTAT